GATCAACAGTATTTATGATCAAACAAAATACAGCGTTATTAAGATATGGATTCTCCCAAATTGATTGATAGATTGAATGCAATTCTAATCAAAATCACCGCAGGTATTTTTGTGTGTGTAATTAATGATTTTTTATGTGTAAAATTTATATGGAAATGCAAAGGACTTTGAATAAGTCAAAGTAATTGTGAAAAAAAATAGAGAAATGGCTCAGTGGCAGAGGAGGCACAGTGAGAAATATGGATGGTAAATAGAAGTGCCTGGACTTCTACTCTTCTCTAGTCTTTGTTAGAGTACCAACAAGTCACCAGACTGTGTGTGTGGATTCAGCTGTGCCTTTTTTCATGTGCAACGAAATATTGATGTAGAATTCTTGATAATGTTCAAAAATTCTTGCTCATTTATCACACAGAATCCCATTGGGTTTTAGTGAAACAGCCAAAAATGATGGATATTCCTTTCTTATTCTTGAAGAAGTTAAAACTCAGCAAATGTTACTATTGACCTCCTCTTCCTGGAAAAAGGCACAGTTAAGTTGTGCATCACTCACAAGATCTAATTAATTCCTAAATCATAGTTAGGTGACAGACAGTAGCGTTTTCTACCAATGCAGCAAAACAGAAAAGAAAGATAATGAATGTTTACTTTTGGAAAGAAAGACAAAAATGTCATTTTATAAAGATCATATAACTGTTTACCTGTATAATCTAAGAAAATTGATAAGTTAAACTGAAAACACAAGTGAATAGTATTCATAAAGATAAGTACAATAAGTTGGATAGAAGTTTCAATTAACAAAAATTGATAGCACATATTTGATAAAGAAATTTTGAAATATAACTGGGGCTAAATTATAAGTAATTATTGAAGTAGTATTACGGGATGTTCCCTTCCCTCTGTCCATGTGTTCTCATTGTTCAACACCCACTTATGACTGTGAACATATAGCATTTACTTTTCTGTTCTTGTGTCAGTTTTCTGAGAATGATGTTTCCAGTTTCATCCATATCCCTGCAAAGGACATGAACTCATCCTTTTTCATGGCTGCATAGTATTCCATGGTGTATATGTGCCACATTTTCTTTATCCAGTCTATCATTGATGGGCATTTGGGTTGGTTCCAAGTCTTTGCTATTGTAAACAGTGTCACAATAACAGTACATGTGTCTTTATAATGGAACGTTTTATAATCCTTTGGATATATATTACAACCCTGTTAACGCTTTTCCGATTTTGAAAGAAAAAAGTTCAGTTCACTACCACCACTCATTTAATTTTATATAAACATACTCTTTGAGGCTGAAGCAAATCTGATTGTTAATGTGAAAATAAAATATTAAAAAACAAATAAAAAAAGAAATAGTATTGAGATTTTACATTGATTAAATATGCCTTATGCTAAATGGATAACCAATGTCAGAAAATCGGTTAATTTGATCATTTAATTGGAAAAAAATATTAAATCAGGGAATTTAGTTCTTCAAATTCCATTCCATAGAGGACTATACTTTCCATATAGAGATGAGAGCATCCTATTAGCATAAAAGGCTCACGAAACTGCAACTGTCCTCCAAAACTAATAGTGCTTTGGGCATCTACATTAGACCAGTTTTTCTTGTTGTTTTCATACAAACTTTTCCTAATAACTAAGATATACATATTAATTATGGAAGAAAAGTATACCTTCATTCTCCCTAATTTTATTAATTCAAGCTAAAAAATAAAAGCAAATTTCACAGAAAATTTAAATATGTTTTAAAACTTTGAAGATACGAAAGCACAAAGGCAAAGCCTCTGAGAAGAACAGAACGTATCTTAACTAGCGTCCATCCTCAGCCAGGAACCTGCTCAAAAAGAGTCTGCCAAGCCCCAGAGGCAGGAAGTTTCATTAGGAAGAAGTTTATCTACAGGGAGTAATACTCTGATCATCCCTGGAGCACAGAAGATCCAGAGTTTCTTTTCGTGACTTACTACAAAGTTAAAGATTTATCGGAGAGACTATGCACCTCTTCAGATAATTATCTCCTTTATAACTAAAGCCCATATTTTCTATTTTTAAATTTAAAGAAGAAATAGGAAAAAAATCATTTCCTGCACAAGGAATTTTTAAATCCAGAGTGTCATAGTTACTTATTTTAGAAGCAGATTTTTGGCTAAATAAAAAGATTTGTGGAATGATGGCCATCAAATGCAGAATCAACTTTAATAGATGCTTTTGGGAAAAAATTCAAATGTTTATCATTATATCAAAACATTATCTTTATTCATGAGGACTCTAGGGCTAAGGGAGAATCTCCTGAGATATCAAACTAATATTAAGTTTTATTTAAAAAGAGTTTCTTCTGTGGTTTCATCTTTGCAAGAAAAGAAAAATTACACCACTCATCAAGAACTGACATTTTCTTTAAATCTTGAATTTTGTTTTATGATCCAAAACCTACTTGTAAAATTGGTAAGTAGCAAAAATTGGCAACACTTCAGCATTTTTCATTATTAGACACTTTTTGAGGGGAGGTGATTGCAATGTATTTATGGTCATAGTTTTGATTCTCTTCATTGCTCGTCGGATTTGGCCACTGCAGCTAGATTATCTTCGTCATGACTTACAGAGCCAACTTTTTGTGGTTTTGTAAAAGACTAAAAATTTTATGAAACCATAAATCAATGAAATGCATTCTCTATAAACCTTAGCATTGCAGCTCTGAGTCTCCAACTCAGTTTCAGGTGAATTCCATGATGTAAAAGTCTGCTTCTGGCATAGACCCAAAAATAAAAATGTATTGCTGATGTATGACAGAAGTATTTTAGAAATTAATGAAGAAACACTTCTTTTCTATCAGAGAGGTCCAGGTCTTTAACCACACTTCCCTATGTTTCTTTATAACTTTTAATTTATTTTACCTTGAAAATATATCTTGGACATTGTGTCCATATGTTAAAGAAAAAAGAAAAACTTTGAGTCTGAGATTTGAAATAATAGAAATCTTAGATATAATGAAAATAAAATAGACTTTTTTATTTTTGGAAGGGCATTTGTATTTTTATCATAACTACATTATTATTTTAATTCAGTCCTGAAACTCAAACATCAGAGAAAGTTTAGTCTTTCTTACTGCTTAAGCAGGTTCAATTCTTCTTGGCCATCTCAGAATATATGGTGAGATTATTTGATCCTACTTTAGAAAGAGAAGGCTTAATTACCTAAAATTCTGAAGAAATAAATAATAAAAAATGTATAAATAGAAAAAGATACAGAATAAGGGAAGTTAAAGAAAATAATGATATTGTTCATTATTGAATTAGTTTGGGGTCAAACTTTGCATGTGACCAGGAAGGTATGATCAAGGGCAGTGGTCCCCAACATTTGTGGCACTAGGGACCAGTTTCTGGTTTCGTGGAAGACAATTTTTGCATGGACTGGGATAAGGCTGGGATGGGGAGGCGGGGGATGTTTGTTAGATTCTCTTAAGGAGCACACAACCTAAATTCCTGGCATGTGCGGTTCACAGCAGGGTTCCCACTCCTGTGACAATAGAATGCCCTGCTGATGTGACAGGAGGTGGAATTCAGGTGGTAATGTTGGCTTGCTGGCTGCTCACCTCCTGCCGTGAGGACTGGTTCCTAACAGACCATGGACCAATACCAGTCCCTGACCTGGGGTGTGAGGACCCCTGATCTAGCGTAAAACAAAGGCACAGAAGACCGGCTCCTCATAATGCTAGACCATTGCTGGAATCCTGCTTTAGTTCTGCAGCCGGCCGGAAAGCTCTGAGAAGGCAGTTTTCTCCCAGCCATCCAGAATGAAGACTGCTTTAGAAATTTGTATTTGTAATGGAAATTCTCTAATGATCAAAGAGACTGAATCTGTAAGTGTGACAGTGTGTGTGTGTGTGAGAGAGAGAGAGAGAGAGGGAATATGTGTGTACGTGTATATCTATACCTATGTGTGTGTTTGAGAGAAAAGGGAGACACTTGAACAAAGGCTTATCCCCGGGAAGAGCTTGCCTGCACTGAAGTGTTGCTAATTTGAGTATCTTTTCCAATACTACAGAAAATAGAATACAAATGTTATGCTGGACCGAGCGTAGAAAGCACCAAGACAAAAGTATGCCAGATTGCAGGGTCATTTATTATGCTGGCGACCACAGAGAACTCACGTCTCTCCAACCTGTGGCGTCGAAAGGAGGGTGCCAAGACTTTTTATACCCGAAAAACCACCTTGGGAGTGGGGGTGAGGAACGGGGATGGGGATGAAAAGGTTTCAGACATTCCGAGGGCTAGTGGATTCTGTAAATCATCTCCTGGGCGGAGACGAGGGCTCCGGATATTCCAAGGGCCAGGGGACTCTTGTCATTCCATTTGTTACTTAAGTGTTTTACAGAAGTCAAGATAAACATTTGTTTACACATTATCTGAGTAAGGTGGAAATCACAGACCTTAGTTACTTATTACAAGTCGCAGGGGCCAAGATGGCATTAGTTTGGGCTGCTTAGTCTGGCAATTGCCGGTAAGCAAAGGCTAGCAATTCTGGCAGTTACTGATAAGAAAAGGTAAGCAGCTTTACATAGTGGCTAGTTAGCAGAGCAAACTAGCAGCAGTAGCCAAGGCTAACAGTTACTGTGAGGAGAATGGGGCAGCCATTACAATTTATTTTAAAAAACAGCTTTTTCTTTTATAAAATGATGTTGTTCAGGCTCTAACTCTAGGCCAGCTACAGCACAATATCACACAAATGTGTTCTTCTTTTTAAAATTCGGCTGATTTTATATAAATTTCTTCCTCTTTTGTATTTGGTTCACTCTGGTACTGGGATAAGAAGGTGCTATTTCTCCTCAAAGACCGATACTGAAGCAAAAGGAATTTATAAGATACAAAACATAATTCAACCCTAGTGTTCTCCATCAGAAAAATGTAGTTGCCGTATTTCATATAAAACATGTTCTCAGTAAATGCTGTCTCCCTTCTCTTCTGTAAGAACAGAGCCCCATATATGAGAAGAAATGTCCAACGCCAGCCTCGTGACAGCGTTCATCCTTATGGGCCTTCCCCATGCCCCAGTGCTGGACACCCCCCTCTTTGGAATCTTCCTGGTGGTTTATGTGCTCACTGTGCTGGGGAACCTCCTCATCCTGCTGGTGATCAGGGTGGATTCTCACCTCCACACCCCCATGTACTACTTCCTCACCAACCTGTCCTTCGTTGACATGTGGTTCTCTACTGTCACGGTGCCCAAAATGCTGATGACCTTGGTGTCCCCAAGTGGCAGGGCTATCTCCTTCCACAGCTGCGGGACTCAACTCTATTTTTTTCACTTCCTGGCGAGCACCGAATGTTTCCTCTACACGGTCATGTCCTATGATCGCTACCTGGCCATCAGTTACCCGCTCAGGTACACCAGCATGATGAGTGGGAGCACGTGTGCCCTCCTGGCCGCCTGCACTTGGATCAGTGGCTCTCTGCACTCTGCTGTCCAGACCACATTGACTTTCCATTTACTCTACTGTGGACCTAACCAGATCCAGCACTACTTCTGTGACGCACCACCCATCCTCAAACTGTCCTGTGCAGACACCTTAGCCAATGAGATGGTCATTTTTGTGAACATTGGGGTAGTGGCCTCAGGCTGCTTCCTCCTAATAGTGCTGTCCTATGTGTCCATCGTCTGCTCCATCCTGCGGATCCGCACTTCAGAAGGAAGACGCAGAGCCTTTCAGACCTGTGCCTCTCACTGTACTGTGGTCCTTTGCTTCTTTGGCCCTGGTCTTTTCATTTACCTGAGGCCAGGCTCCAGGGATGCCGTGGATGGGGCTGTGGCTGTTTTCTACACTGTGCTGACTCCCCTTCTCAACCCTGTTGTGTACACCCTGAGAAACAAGGAGGTAAAGAAAGCTCTGTTGAAGTTGAAAAATGGGTCAGTATTCACTCAGGGTAAATAATCAAGAAAGGCCAGATATACCTAACTTTTCTTTTTTTATTTGTAATTAAACCTTCAACATGAGCATTATACTTGAATGGAGCATTTCAATTATACAATCTTAATTTTTAATCAGACAGTTAATTAATCTTTGATTATTTTCAGCAGAGTGTTTGTTAGCATCCTAGTTAAAGCTGCCATTTCATGGTGATAATCTAAAAGAAAGAATAATAGTCAATTCTTTTCACATTCCATTAAGTAAATAATCAGAAAGTCGTTTTTCAAAACTTATATAAATATTTTCCAGAATTTGCTATTCAGCATAATATTCTTACAGTTTATTTTGTGTAATTTAAGTCAAAGCATTATAAAAATCTCTTTTCATGTTTTTAACTTTATATATTGAAAAATTTATTATAACTTTCATAAATGACTACATAATTTAATATCCATATTATAAAATTTTCACTTTAGAAAATACTAGACAAAAATGCTTGGTTCTCAAGAAGAATGCCTTTATTCATATTCATGAGCCAATAAAAACTATATAACTCTTTAATATTTTTTCTTTACTTTGGACTGAAATATTTTTGGGTGTAAATATTTGTCCATTTATGCACTGTATACACTGCACACATTGTAGTGGTCGCTGATAACAACTCTCTAGACTTCCCTTCCATATTTGTGGAGCTGCCAATCTCTTATCCTCAATGCAAAGTTTCCACTTTCAGCAATTTAAAAATTGTTATTGTAAGTTACCAGTGGGTAAATAATAAATATATGAAAACGATCAAATAATCTTAGAGACAAAAATATGCAGTAAAAAAAATTGAGTATCCTCCAACTTAGAACAAAGTACTAGATAACATTTTCCATGTAATTAGACTGTTTATAAGTCACATTTGCTTGACTTAAAGTATATGAAATGGACTCTGGACACTCTTTGGGTAGGTAAAGCTCAGGCCATAAACCTTATAATCTGTCATCCAAATATATACATATTTTAAATATATGTATATATGTTTTAAATATATATCCATATATATATTTTAAATATATGTATATATATATAATTTTACACTCTAACTGTGTAAACATTCTCAAAATAAATGCTTAATTTAAATACCACATATATCCTGGTCATGCCAACTCTGCCTAGCGTGCTAAGAAGAGAAAAAGAGAAACTGGAAGGCAGCTGCTAGCACTGAAAAGCATTTCTCAAACTCCTCAGATTTGCAGCAGCTGCATTTCAGAGATGCTTTAGCAAGCACGTTCCTTCAGTGCTAACTTGCCATGTCTTGCTCTAAGTAAGTTGTACAGATGTATTGAGAAGAAAAACATACTAACTTGGTAAGCATGACCTATATAAACCATGACACAATGATCTATATAAGAGGTAAATTTTTGGTTTCCACACCAACAAATCAGATTGGTATGGGCCAATTATATAAGTCAGCTCATTTCTCAAAGGAAAAACCGAGGTACAGATAAACTAAAATTACTTAGTCATTGGATTCACTTTGATTCTTACAATTCTCTGTAACATCACGCTGTTATATCTAACTTACCATTACCTAAAATGTTATGGGATATTTATTGGGTGTTCAGTCACATGCTAAACAATAGGTACATAAAAACAACAGACAAGGTCTCTGCATTCACCGAAGTCATTGTCTGTCAAGGGGAAAAATATCTTGCATTGTCCAGGTTACATTGTTATAAGTGCAATAGAAGCCTAAGGAGATCCATTATTAGTTTTGACTTGGAAAGATGCTAAAGGATTCAAAATACTATAGTAAGATGTATTACACACAACCATGTTGAAAGTAAATTATTGATAATGATATATAAGATGAATGTCAGTGTCTTTATTGAATTGAAAATATTATTGAAATAATTTTAGAATCTCGTGAAGTGCTAAGAAACAAGACAGTGAGAATCCTTGTTATACCTTGCCCAGCTTCCCCCGATGGTAACAGCTAGAAAACTGCAGTATAATATCACAACTAGGATATTGACATTATTATAATACACGTTATTCAGATTTTTTTAGTTTTACTCACACATATGTGTGTGTATGTGTTAAATACTATACAGTTTTAATACCAGTCTATGTTAATTAATTTTAACCTGGCTCAATCTACCTATTTATCAATTCAATAAATAAATATGCACTGAGTGGCTATCATGCCCTATGTACAATGAATGAGTACAAAAAAATAAACAGGCATAGAGCTCTTTTTAAGAAGTTTGTTGAGCAGTGGCTTGTAGTTCTCCTTGAAGAGGTCCTTTACGTTCCTTGTTAGTTGTATTCCTAGGTATTTTATTCTCTTTGTGGCAATTGTGAATGGAAGTTCGTTCTTGATTTGGCTCTCTTTAAGTCTGTTATTGGTGTGGAAGCAAAAAAAAAAAAAAAAGGAAAAAAAAAAAAAGAAGTTTGTAGTCCCAGCATACAAGATGTCTAGCATTCATAAATGACGAGCCATGAAAATCAAACAAATCATGAAGGAACTTGAATACAATACTAGGAAGAAGGATTTTTATCTTGCAAGTCCTGGAGAGTTATTGAAATATTGCATGATGTAATGGTAATATGATAGCATTTTTATTTAGAGATGTAACTGATGGTAGCATGGAAGACATGGAAGAAAGGTGAATTTTAGGGCAGCAAGATCAACTAAAGAGCTTTTTTGATTGTATAACAAGAAAGAAAAATACCAAAGTCTAAGTTGAGAAGGGAATTGGGAATTGGGAGTGAGGAAAGGGATAGCGAATAGGAGCCCATTGTGTGAGGAAGCAAAGCTGATGGAGAAGTTCATACGCTTTGGCCATTGTGATATAACTTATCAAAATAGAGAAAGTAACAGGGATATGTTCTTAGGGTAGAATGAAAATGTCTGACTTTGGAAATGTTTGGGTTGAGTGCCTGTGGAAGTTTCAGGTAAAATTATCTGGTTGAAGGTGTAGCTTGGGAGACGGACCAGCAGAAGCCTGCAGAGTTAAGTCAACAAGCAGACTGGTCGCTATTTTCTTGTTTTGTGCTAGCTGTTAAACATCTGTTTCCTAACATGGAGAAGGAAACATCTCTTATTCAATAGTAGCATAAAGAGGGGTCAGATCAGGAAAACGTGACTACCACCTCTCCTACATTTCTCGAGTAAGTCCAAGAAAGGAAACCTTCAGGAGATTTACACGAATCTGTTATTGGACCTTTCCTTACAGAATTATTTCTCACAATAACACTCAAAGACCCTTTCAGAGGTTGTAAATTCAAAGAAGTCCAGAGGCAGTACTTAGAAAAGCAGCTCCTTCTTGATGTCATGGTCATGAAAGATAGCAAGGGGTGAAAGGGCCACACTGTTGCCCTTCAGTTCCCTGATGTTATTAAACTTCTTCACTGCAGAGGTTAGATCTTAATAGCATTGAGGGGATTCTGGAAGGAAATTAAAAGAAAATCAAGTGTCAAAATAATTAATTTAAATAATAAAAGGGCTGCTTGAGGATTTGGGGAATAAAAGTGCACATTGAAGACACGTGGGCACACAGTAAGCACCGACATAAAACCTGTATGTTTAAAGATGGAGATAATACACTGATGAGTGGAGCAGAATATAGAGTCCAGAAAGAGACCTGCGCATATCAGCCTGTTGACTTTTAGCCAAAGTGCAAAGGCATTTTGAGGAGAAAAAAGTATGATACTTTCAACAAATGATGCCTAAAAGTCTGGCTATCCCTAAGTAAAAGCTAAATTTTGACTATTACTTCACTTCATATACAAAAATTAACTTGAATGGGATTATTGACCTAGATGTAAAAGATAAAATTATTATATTTCTAGGACAAAAAAGTAGGAGGGAAATTTTCATAAACTTGGGGTAGACATGGATTTCTTAAGGAGGACAGAAAACATGAACCATAGAAATAAGTCAAAAGTTAAACTTTATCAAAATTAGAAACTTGTGCTCTTCAAAGATATTAATAAGTAAATGAGTAAGCAAAAAACACACGAGAGGTAAATATTTGTAATTCATATACCCAGTAAAGAACACAATAAAAAATTTAAAATTATACTACAATTTAATAATTAAAAACAACCCAATGAGAAATAGGCAGATGATCTGAACACATACTTCTCAAAGAAAGATATTTGAATGGCCACCAGGAAGATTTAAAATTGTTCAACATTATTAAACATTAGTGAAATGTAGATTCAGCCATAATAAAACCACAAACACATAATCAAATGACCAAAATTTAAAAACCTAATGTTAATATTTTTGAGAATGTAGATCAATAAGAACTTCTATGCATTTCTGGTAGATATATAAAATGATACAGTCAGTTTCGAGAAAACTCAACTTTTTAAAATAGTCAATACACACTTGTCATTCAACTTATCATTCGGCTGGACAAAGGTATTTTCTAATGTTTACCCAAGAGAGTTTGAATCATATGCCTAACAAACATTTGCAAATGAATCTGTGTAGCAGCTTTATTAATAATGTCCCCAAACTGGAAGCAATAGGTAATAAATTATGGGATATTTATACAATAGACTACCTTTCAATGACAAAAGGATTACTGATACACACAAACACATAAATATCAAAAACATTAGGATAAACAAAATAAGTCAGACAAAAGAGAGTATACACTGTACGATCCCATTCATAGGAAACTCTAAAGAGGACAAATCTAATCCATAGTGAGAGAAAGTAGATCAGCAGTTATCTGGAGCCTAGGGTGGTAGAGGACTGATGAGAAGGAACATGGCGGGTTACATATTGTACTGTAAAGGTTTTTATCTTGATTGTGGAGGTAGAATCACAGATATATTTATTTGTCAAAACATACCAGACTGTGTACCTAAAATGGATACAAATTATACCTCAATAAAGTTTTGCATTTTAAATACAAATTATTTCCCAATAAAGTTTGTAAAAGCAGACAAAAAGTCAAACTACAAATTAAAAACAAAAAAGAGAAACTGTTATTTCTAAAGAGCCATGACAAATAGCTGGTACAGACTTAACCTCCCTTTAAAACTGTGTAAAATATAGTCACATACCATGAAAATTATTAAAAGATATTCTAAAA